CCCGTCCTCGCATCTCGGGCCCAGGGACCGCGGAAAATGGCTCTCTCGCTGGAGAGACGCACGCACGGCCTGGCAGCCGGGTGTGGACCCCCTGCCGCGCCCCACCCCGGCACCCCGGCACCCCGGCACCCCTGACCCAGTCCCACCCGCAGCACGAAGCTCGGCTTCCTGAGTACCTTGGAAAGGCAGAGCGGAAAAAGCCTTTTGCGTGTCCTGAAAGGACGCGGTCTAGTAACGCAGCCCTCGGTTTGCTGCACTCTAAAGGTTTGCAATGCCACGCTTGTGTGGGTGACTTTGTTTGGCTTGTCAAGGAGGGGTCACTGTTCAGGTTCTGGGCTCGAAACCGGCCTTGCCCTCAGAGTTCTGCGTCCTTTCTGGCCCGGTGGTATGCGGAAAGTCGTTGTCAGGAGGTGCGGGGCACCGGTCTCAACTCAGGACAGCAGCACGTGCAGGTGGACGGCGCGGGTTCCGGGGAGCCTTCGTGACAGTCCTGACCGTGAACAGCGCAGCCACAGTGCTGGCCTCGTCATACTAAAGCACCGCACGTAGACATGCGCTTCAGACATTTTCCCTGGAGGGTCCTTCCAGCTCTCAGTTCTGTGAGTCTGTTCTATGAAGTGATGGTTCTGTCGTGCTGGAAACTTTGCTGTGTATCAGGTTTGACTTTTTTTTAACCACCTCCACCTTTCCCGCCTAACTGAGGAATGAACTCATTCGTTCCTTCATTGCTGTCTCAAGGTAAACACAAAGATCAGGGTGTACTTCCAGCTATTGAGGTCACAAATCTGGGCATAAATGAGGGAACAAAAACACTGGCTTTATTATGGAGTTATTTGTCCACTTAAAGTCCTTGCAGTTCTTTGTATGAGCTTTCAGGATTCACTTCTTGCCAAAAGTAACCGAAGCACTAAAACCCATCAATCAGTTTGCTACAATAAAGCTCGTTCCTAACCCTTTGTTTCACAATCTTTACGCACGGACATTTTGGTTCATTGTGAAGAATTCCGGAATCCCCCTGTGTCGTTATTATTATTATTTTTTTAACCAAATGGGTGCAGAATGACATTAGAAGTGACTAGGTGACTATAGAGAAGGGAGGAAGTTGGACTACCGCATGATCAAAACTTAGATTTGGAAGGACCATTGTAGACATGAAGACATGCTCCACCCTCAGAACATTGTCCTATTTCTAGAGATAATCTTCAGCCGATGCTTGATGATTCAGGGCCAGGAGTTCAGCTCATGGCAAGACACCTGGTTTTTTGTTTTGTTTTGTTTTGACAGCCCTTTTAGAAAGCACTTCTTTAGATCGAGCCCATATATGTCACTTCTACCCAAATGCCATATCTGTGCTCTGAGACGACACGAAGTAAGTGCTACTCCAGTGGCTGCACAGCAGCAGGCGGGCGGTGTGTTTGTGTGCTGGATGCCTCATGGCTTGTGTGAACCTGAATGAAGGTGAGGACGGCTTGCCTGGAAGGATGCAGACACCGTTACCCTCCTGGTCCTGATGTGTCACGTGGGCTTCACTAGTAGGTCAAACTTAAAAACAAAGTTTGGGAAACACCTTAACCTCTTCCTTCTCATTTTCCCTGCTATTCAAATCAGTCACCTTTGAGTGGTGACAACAGTGTCCTCTATTCTATTATATGATTTGCCTTTTTTTTTTTTTTGTCTTTTTCCGTGTCCGGCAACGGATCGCAACCCTCAGTGTTGCCCCCTACCGGACCGGGGACCGGCAACGGGATCGCAACCCTCGGCGTCGCTCCCACGCCTCGCTCAGCCAGTGAGCGGGAACCGGTCTGTATGTGGGATCCGAACCCTCGGGCGGGAGCGCCGCCGCGCTTCCCAAGCGGCGCACTATCCAGTGCGCCACCGGGCCGGCCCAGAAAACAATTTCTTAATTCCAACTTGGAACTCCCCTCTGCTCTCTCTGCTACATCAGTATACCAAGTAAGCCAGAATCTCTGGGAGTGGCCATGGTAGCAGTATTTCTAAAACTTCTGGTGTGTAGCTGGGCTGAGAACCACAGCTCTGACCGGCTGAGTTTCATGAATATGTGTATAAGCAGTTGATTTATTTATTTTTATTTTTTTATTATTTTTTATTTTGTCAATATACAATGTGGTTGATTATTATGGCCCATCACCGAAACCTCCCTCCCTCCTCCCTCTCCCCCCTCCCACCCAAGAATGTGCAGTTAATTTAGCATAACTGATGGTGTGTGTTACAGAAAGAAAGAATATTATTGTCTTTGTTGAAAACTGAAAAAAAAGAAATGTTCTATTACTATAGAGATTTTAACACACAATTTCAACAAAAGGGCTTGGAAATATGACAAACAATCCATAAATTAAAACCTCGGTGGCAGTTCTCTTAGTTCCTTTGCCAGCCAAAACAGACCAGGGTCGTCATGCCTAAGGACTTGATTAATTTTTCTTTTACTTTTATCCTTTGTCCTTTCTATGAGGTTGGATAACCCTAACTCTTTTCTCGTTCTGCCTTAGAACATACTGAGTATTTACTGTAGGAAGATATATAATATGTTTTTTTTTTTCTTGGCGACTGGCCAGTACAGGAATCTGAACCATTGGCCTTGGTGTTATAACACCACACTCTAACCAACTGAACTAGAAAGTTATATTTTAAAGCCCATGAGTGCCTGACCAAAGAATGAAAAATGTTAACGTTAATACCTAAAGAATATTACGTAATAAATCAAGCATTTATTTTAGAATGCCTTATATCTTAAGCTTTTCAAGTCAATTTAGTCTGTAGAATCCTAAAGGTATTATAGAGTACCACATAATCCAACATCAGAATGTCCAGAAAATGAAATTGGACCAAACTGAGAATATTTTTTAAAAGATAAAATGGTTAAATGGCTTGTTAAAATTTAAAAGTCCTAAATAACCTTTGCAGTTAATCTGCAAACTGATTTACAGAGAGTTACTTTCAACTGATAAATGCTCCCTTATTTTCTTTAGGATTCAATTCACTGAAATTTTTATTTACCTATTCATAACAGGCTATTCTTAATTTAAGTACAAAAGTGAGTACATCAAAAAAGTTGCTTCGTCTTAATTATTCAAGTAGCATCTTAATAGTAATTTGGTCTTTACAAAGAGCTGTAGATTTTTTCCAATATGAAAACTACTAATTGATTTATAAATTAATAAATTTGACCTGAACACATATGTGTATGCCCTGAAATATATTCTGAGCCTTTCCACTTTTGATGTCTAAGTCACTGGGCTTAGCATTGGAAGTTATTTCTATGGCATCATATGGTTATTAAGGAAAAATAGAGGATCCCCCCACCCTGGTGTTGTTCAATAGGAGTGAAAACCAGTTTAGCCAACCGAACAGGAGATTTGCAGAAATTCTTGACTGGAGATTCAGTTCGCCTGCTAAACAACACAGGTGTGCCTTTCAACAGCTCAAGGATTTTCTAAGCATCAAATTTGGTTTCAGTATACATTAGCTTCTTCCTAGATTCCAGGGAGGTGGCGTGCTGCTAATCAGGTGGGAAGAAACTGAAGTCCTGATAAATATGGTATTAACTAAAAAAAACAACTTCCCAGGAGCCAAATATTGTTACACCATGTTAAAGAAAACATTAAGGCCGAAACTAAGATATTAAAATAGCATATCTGTGTTCTTTTTCCTTCCATTTTCCCAAACACTCTTTGTTTATCTTAATGCTCTACAGAAATCCTATCATATTTGTAACATACTTAGCATGAAAGCTACAGAGGGATAGCAATAGTTATGGAACGAACACATTCTTATCATTGCAACACTGTTCATATATAAATGTATGGGTGTGTGTGTGTGTGTGTGTGTGTGTGTATATATAAACACACATACTCATAAATATATATAAAACTTTTTGGGCAAATTGTAAGTGTACAAACAATTGCCTTATTTTAGCATTTGGCAACCTCTGAGGCTGTACAGCATCAGAATGTTTCCATGGGTATTACATAGACCTTGTGGATTTATTTTTCATGCATTCACTTAAAATACACTCATTTGCAATTCTGAGGTATTTTAGGATCATCTAGATTCCTCTTGAGCTTCTGGAGGGGTAAGGTTTGGGCTCTAGCATCTCAGCTGTCTTGTTGAATACCCTTCCAGCCTGTAATGACTTTCACTGGAATGGAATGCTGGAAACTACCATGGCTTACAGGAGGGTTGGGTGAATTTTGTTGGTCAATAAGCACTTGATGAGTATTAATTAAAACTACCCACCCAGGTCAGGGCAGCAAGTAAATCTATATGTTTTGGGTAAGTCATTTTATTTCTCTGAGTTACATCAGAGATTCCTCACTTGGAAAACAGAGTTATTTTGGATGCCCTCCAAGACCTCTTTCAACTCAGAAGTCTCTGAGTCTATGATTCCTAATGACCTCGGTCATTCATGGACAAAATCAACAAGGAGAGACAAGAAGCAAGAGTGGTCTTTTGGTGAAATGATAAATGCATGAGGTCGTGGTTACATTAACTACCCTGACACGATCATTATAAAACATTTGTATGCATCAAAACATCAGCTTGTATCCCATAAGCATGTACAATTACGATGCATCAATTAAAATAAATAAATAAGTAAATAAAGAGTGTTCCTTTGGTGTTGTCACTGCTTCATTTTCTACCCACTTTCTGCCTTCCTCCCTGGCTGTGTTTAAAGGGAATACCTGTGCGTGGGGTGGGGAGG